TGGCGACTGTGCGGTCCGATGTCCGGAGCTTTGTCCGCGGGCGCGGGGCCGTGCGAGGCCCGGGGAGGGCGGGGGCTGAGGGGCAGGGGGTCTAACTAGGCGGAGGTCGGAGGGCAAGGCCGGGAGAGACCCCGAGCGGGTGCGTGGGAGCCCAGGGTCATTTCCCGGGAGGAAAGGGGGCGATCAGGGATGGGATCGCCGCTCGGCCGCCGACGGGCACCCGCTTCGCCGCCGGGTCAGGAGCCGAGGTGGTGGTGGTAGCGAGCGGCGGGCTCTGGGGAGTCTGCGGGCTTGGGGAGAGGGAGCTAGGATTTGCGGGTTCGGGTCCCAGAAGGATCCGGCGGCGGCCGGAGCCCGAGGGCCGGCCCGCAGGCCCCTCCCACTCCGTCAGGTCTTTGTCCAGCGGCCCCTGTGTGTGCGGGAGGGGGTGGGGGCTGGGTTACTGGCCTGGAGATTCCCCGGCATCGTGACGGGGCAGTGACAGGAGACTGAGGCCATTTCTGTCCCTGCGCCCCGAACGCACACGCCTTCCGATTCTCCTCAGCCCGGGACGGCGGTCCCAGCTCAGAGTTGGGGTGTTGCACGAAGCTGCGCTTACTTTCACGCGTGGGTCACTGGTTAACCCTGGACTCCCCCCACCCCCCGCAGTTCCCAGCTCTAGCGAGAGCCCCTTAAAACTTCCCCACTCCTGGAGCCCTCTTCTGGTCTACGCAGAGAGTCCCACTCCCAGACCCTTGGTAGAGGGTCCCCCGTAGATAGTTGGGCACACAGTAAGAGCTTAATAGATGCTGGCTCCCTCCCGGCCCTCTCTGGTCCAGTGGTTCCCGCTGGCCGAGGGCCTGTGGAGCGGTCTGCGCCGGGGAGAGCGAGAGCAGCCTGGAGGAGCCTGCGCCCCGCGGCGGCCCGGAGTGCAGGGGTGGGTGGGCGGGTGGGTGGGCTGTTAAAGGGACGGTCACTAAATCAGGATTAGGCCGTGGGGCTGTCAGGCTGCCGGCCCAGTCTCCATGGATACCTAATTTGGAGGAGAATACAGGACGGAAGAATGTCTGTGTTGTCCGCACCGGCAGGAGAGGCGGAGCGGGCTCCGGCTCTCAGCCCCGCAGCTAGGAGTTGGGGGTCTGCCCCCATCCCCGTTCTGGGTTTACAGACTTGGGGGCTTCTTGATTCCCAGGGTTTGACACCTTCTCCAGAGTCACCCCATATTTGGAATGGGCCTGGAGATGATGTGGTCCAGAGACCTCAGACTGCTTGGGGGAGTTGCGGACCCTCCCAGAGTCCCTTCCGAAACCCCTGAGCATCCTTCCGGAACCTCTGGCCCCCCAGAACCTCCAGGTCGGGTTTGAACGCCCATTCTCTGTTGGGCTTTAGCCCTGCTCCACCCCCCTCAGGGCAGCAAGGGGGTGCCGAGCTGCAGCGCCTCAGGATCTGAGAGCGGGTATTCGGGCCGCCCGGAGCTGCGGGCAGGGGGCGGGGCGGGACTTTCTCCAGTCGCCCGAAGAAAGGGGAGGGTCTTGCTTGGACGGCCCCGGAGGACTGTGTGACAGGCCTCGTAAATCCCCCTTACCCATATTTAACACCATTTCATTTATTTCCACTTGATTCCACTGGTGCCCGCAGTATCCAGAAGCGACCCACACGTCCTTGCTGTACGGTCTTCTAGGGGAAGGCCCTTCTTTACGGACCAACGGGAATCTAGTTGTCATTTAGGACTGGAGTTGTTCCTGGAAGGCCCAGTCAGTCCTCAAGACTTCTCAGTCTCCCTGGGAGGAGGAGAGGGGCCTGAGCGGCACAGGGAGGACGCGGTGGGCCTCCAAGGTCCAGCACATTCTTGGGCTCTGGTGAAGACAGTCGCCAGGTTGAGGTTCACCTACTTAGTTCCAGGACACAGTTCCCAGATTTCAAGGCAGGGAAAAGAGAGGCAAGAGAGAGGAACCCAGGCCCCAGTGTGGCGTTCCAGAGTCCAGTCCTGCTTCCCTCCTGGTCATCCATGGCCACAGCTTTTTATGGATCAAGAGTCCCTCCCCCGCCCCCCCCCGCCCCCCCCCCCCCGCCTGGCTGCAGCTTTATTGCTGAATCTCAGGCTCTCCACGCAATTTCACGCCTCTCTGCCTCTGCTCCTGCTGTTCCTTCAGCCAAATGCCTTCTCCATTGTCCTGGTCTTGCCACAACCTCCTCATTCTTCAGGGCCCAGCTAGGATGCTGCATATCCCCCTGTGTCGCCTCCCCAGAGTCCCTGGATGCTGTCATCTGCCCCTCCCTCCACAGTCCCCTTGCCCTGCACCTGTGCCCCCCTTCCGCTGTGGCTGGGTCCAAATGCCTCCAGGAGGCCGGCACACACAGTGCACTTTGTGCACCATTTGGGTGCCCATAAATATTGGCTGGGTGAGGAAAAGGAGTTTCGTGAAGGTTTTAACCAGGTGGTCTGCAAAACCTGGGATCTGGTCACTCCTCCAGGGTGGTGGAGACCCCTGGGTGGCTCAGCTCCTCCTTTCTTCCTCCCCCTTCACCCCTCCTCCTCCCCGATGACCCTCCCCACCCCACCCCCCAGGCCAGGGAGGACTTTGCCCCTTTCCTTCCCCACAGACCAGCATTCTTTCTCCGCCATTATCATCCTGTTAAACAGAGAGGCCAGTCAGGGTCCATATGGATCACATTAACAATTGCTTATTATCTGGCTGGACTCCCCCACTCCCCACAAGTTCCTATTGCTGCAGCCCTGGGTCCCGAGGAGCCCTGCCTTCCCTCCCCCACCAGTGGTCTTGGAGGAGGTCAGGGGACAGGTTGCTTGGCCGCCCTCTCCCTCCCTGACCCCTCTAGCTGAATTTTACCTCTTCTTGCCTTGGCACTCAATGACTTCATCACCGCACTTAATGAAAACCAGGCTCCGCACAGGAGCCTGGCTCAGGAAAGTCCCAGGGCTGCATCTGGGAAGGTGACCAAGGACCAAGGCCTGGCATGCCTTAAGAGCTCTTGCCTGCCAGTGGACAGAAGTCAGGGGCAGCGGCGAGCCATATTCACCTGAAATCCTAGTCCGCCCCTGCTGCTCTCTCGGAGAGCTAGAGAGTCTTCAGAGCTGTGTGACACTGAACTCCAGGGCTTTACCTGCAAAGACTCAAGAAATGGGTCCAGAGTAAAACTGGGTGTGAGGGCTCACACCTCTAATTCCAGCACTAAAAAGGCCGAGACAGAATTACCATGAGTTCAAAGCTAGCCTAGGTTACATAGTTATATATCATCCTGGGCCAGAGTGAGACCTTGTCTCAAAACCCACCACCATCAACAAAAAAGGACCAGGATGTAGCTCACTGATACAATGTATGTTGGGTGACAACACCCACCCCCAGAAGAACAAACAAACAGAAAAGAAATCTAATGGTCTTTCCTGGAGCCGCAGCTGAGTTAGCCTGAGTTGCAGACTGGGTGGGCGGGGCTTATGCTTAAAAACATGTAATGGAAGAATCTAACTAGAGGCGGCAGGGGCCTTTGAGATGACCTCTTCTAGCCGGATGGCGGTGGCACACGCCTTTAATCCCAGCACTCGGGAGGCAGAGCCAGGCGGATCTCTGTGAGTTCGAGGCCAGCCTGGACTACAGAGCGAGATCCAGGACAGGCACCAAAACTACACAGAGAAACCCTGTCTCTAAGAAGAAAAAAAAAAAAAAAAAAAAAGATGACTTCTTCTGCCTTTAATCCCAGCACTCGGGAGGCAGAGACAGGTGGATCTCTGTGAGTTCGAGGACAGCCTGGTCTACAGAGTGAGTTTCAGTTACACAGGGAAACCCTGTCTTGGAAAACAAACAAACAACAACAACAAAAAAAGATTACCTCTTCTGTGGGTCTCTGGACTGGAAGTTAACTCACTGGTAGAGCTTTTGGTTAGACTGTAAAGGTCCTGGTTTGGATTCTTGGCCAGTGGGGGCGCAGACACAACAACAAACTGTGGGTCTGTAACTTGTTTTACAGAGCCCCCAGGGAGGTTAATGAAGGTGTCCCCAGGAAAGGGCACCGTCATTAGCTGACACCACCGTACTCCGTCTTCTCCTTTAAGCTCTGGGACACCTGAAGCCCTCCACCAGTCCAGCCCCTCTGAGGTCCTGAGGCCAGGGTCTGGCCTGCAGCCTAGGCCTGACATCCTTGCTGGGTGTTCATCCCAGGGCTTTGTTACTGGCAGGGGACTGCAGGAGCCACAGGCCAGGCACGGGGAGTCGCTGGGACAGCTTCTGGGTTGGGGGGTTCACGCTGCTCCTCATCTCGGATTGTGTGGCTTGGAAAGAGGCTGATGCTTAAGGGTCCACGTGTCCCTGGGAACAAGGGCCAGAGAGAAAGCCAGCTCTTCTCAGAGCACTTCCTGAGGACCAGGGTGACTCCTGGAGCACTTGGGAAGTGAGCTGAGAATGGGGGTGTGCTTGAGCGTCACAGCGAGAAGGGAACGAGGCCTGAACAAGGGGACAGAGCTCTAGTCTTGGAGGACCCAGGCCGTGAGGGCGACATTCTGCCGACTGGTGCACTTGGCACCTGGCTGCCCTCTGGTTCCGAACTGTGACAGCTTTAGAATTCAGCTGCTAACTGCAGG